TTTTGTTTTTTCTTCGTGGGTTTTGGGGGGAAGGTTTTGGGGGGAAGGGGAGAAGGAGGCGGTTATGAAGGGTTGAGCAAAAAGATGCCTTTTTTATTTTAAACAGATGGGGAGTGCATGTATATGCGATGAAGTCCAAGATAATTATAGTAATTGTTATGAAGGATGTAGGTGGGTTGGTTATGTAAAAAAGGCATTTTTGTATTTGAATGTGTATGTAGGTTGCAATTTGCATGCACTGAACAGAGGCTCTTACATATATATCACTTAAATTTTACGTATTTATATATCAAATATCTAAACTTCAATTTTTATATATAGGCGGTTTTATTTTTGTATGAAATTTTGTATTTCATTTTTTAAAAAATTAAAATAATGATATTTTTTGTAAGATATGAAGGATTTGGATGACATAAATATAAAAAATATATAAAATTATTGGAATTGGGTGGTATGAATGTAAATGCCCCCGTTAAAAATTTGATTTTCTTAAATCTTAAACAAGTGGAGGAAAAAAATATCACATTTCTCATATTTCATTTTTTATTATAGAAATTTAGACTGTTTCAAACGGTCAAAAGTGATCGATAAATATTAACACTATCGGTTAATAAAATTTGATGGCTTTTTGTCTGTCTACAAGATATAACTATTTTGTTTGTCAGCAATATTGAGAAACAAAGACATTTCTGACTGCTTGGAACGTTTGAAAGCTTATCCTGTGTGTTTATGTTAAAAACATAAATGTCGGTTACATAATCAACGATTACAAGTTATCGGTTCATGTCAAAAAGATGCCCCTTAGTTAACTCACGATCATTGAGTCGTCGATTAATGCCAAAAAGAAAATAAAAATTATCAGTTGCTCATGACGTCTCGGTGGTCGGTTCATACAAAAAAAAATGCTTTTTAAAAGTTAAAATTACTTTTTATAGGTTAAAAAATAATATTTTTAATGTGATATAAAATATTTAGATGTCATAAATATGCATATAAATGCCCCCATAAATTTATAAAATTTTTGCATTACTTTTTATAGATTTTAGATTACAGCTGAATTTATTGAAGGAATTTAAAATGTCCGAAAATTTAATTTCTTAAATATGAAAAGAAAGTATGCAAATTATTAATCTCCTCATATAGAATTCGATAGGGAAAAATGAGAATCGGGTCGCTTTCAGGCAATGAACACCGGCCTCACCGTGCTTACACCCTCTGCCGCGCGTACTCTCCGTCTTCTACCATCGTCTCAACTCCGTCTCCCATCCCTTCGTGTCCCCAGGAACCCTAGCTGGCTGTCGAGGACACCGCCAGCTTCAACTGCTGCTCGTCGCTTTACTGTCCTCTCTCCCATGGCGTCTGCTTTCAAGCCTGAAGAGGCTAGGTTTCCCGCCGCTCTCCAGCCCCCGGTTCCCTCCGTTTCGAAGGTGACGCGAAATTTCTTCTTGATTTGATCGAATGAAACGGAACTAGAACATATTTTTCTGTGTTGGTGATCTTCTGCTGGTTTTGGTTGTAGTTTAAGATTGCCCTGTGCCAGTTGTCGGTGACGGCGGATAAGGCCAGGAACATTGCGCATGCTCGCAGAGCGATCGAGGAGGCTGCTTCGAAGGGGGCTCAGCTCGTGCTTTTGCCTGTGAGCTATGCCTTGCATTTTGGTTTTGTTGATTTATTTATTTTTTCTGTATGGATATTGGATCGATTGCAACCTATGGGAATCTCTATATTGAAGTGGTATATTGTTTTTCGTTGTCTTGTGGATGTTTAATTGATAAGTTTGATTTATGTGGTTTATGTTTTCCTATGCTGTTTAGTCTGTTTTATGATTATGAGGTTGTTGTGTGCCGGAGACATTGCTACATAGCGGTGAAGGATGTGCTGGTCTTCGCTCAGGAATTGCCAACAACGGTAACAGATAAAAGAGAGATTTTTATGTGAGAAACCAAAACCAGAAGGGTTAAGTCACAGGCCAATATCCGATTTCAAATTTTTATTATAAACAAAAAATGTGCACGGAGCTTCGTCCTCGTCAGAGCAGTAAGGAATATCAACACAACATTGTTAGCATAAGAGCTTGCTTTTGAAGCAACCATTAGATTGTAATGATTTAGAGCTGTTGATGCGGGCGTCCAGCGCCCATAGGCGACAATTGCCGCGACTCCTTTGCCCTGGACCAGTTCGGTCGAGACAGGGGAGGGAGATGCTGTTTCTTCCAGGCAAGGATTTTTCTCTTATTTTGAGTGGGTTCCAATTCTATTTATCTTAGGTCTATAAATATGTTGTTTTTGTGTTTTAGGGCTGTTTTTGGTTGTGTTTTTTTATGAGGACAGTCGTCGACGTCTCCGAGTCTTCCCTTCTAAAGCTGTAACCCAGGGCAAGTGGTGCTTAAGCTGTATCTCACTATCAGGTAGTGATTATCATCGACTTTCCCATCAACCTCAACCGTCCATCCGCTGCTGCCCCAAGGACGACACCTTTGCTATCTCCTGCAGCCCCCATACCTCCCGTCTGCCTTCCCAGCCACCTACCAACCTCCTGCCACCTAAGCCATTGCCCCCTTGCCTTTCTTCTTTGTTGCCGCCGCTGCCGGACAACCTCCTACAGGCTGGTTTTCTGCCCTTCCATTCCAGCCTACTTGTCGCTGTCCTTCCGCACTTCCGGTTTTGCTCTCCTTCCATGTCCCTTCTACTTACCTTTGCTGCCTAACCTACACCCACTTGCTTCTGTCCTCCCTGTCACCTTGCGGCCTACCTCCCGCCAGCCTTCCAACTCTCCACCAACCATCCGTTCTTCCTACAACCAATTTTCTCACCACAAACAACTTTCACTATCCTGCCAATCAACCCTACTCACCTAACGCCCCTCCATCCCGCATCATCACCAACCACTACTTTTTTGGGATACAATCCCAATTGCATTGGTATCGTGTTTGTTGCTATTTCTATTTCCATTTGTGTGATTGTATTTCACTATTTTGAATTCAACAATAATATTTAGTTTTCTTATCATTGTTTGGGTTAGCTCCGGTATCAATTGTAGAGGTTAGAAGTAGCAAAAGCTAAGTGGGATTGTTCAGTCCACCATAATACCAACCTTTTATCATGAAGGGGCTCAACAAGTTTTTTTTTGTAGAAATATGCTCATAGACAAAATAATGATTGCAGAGGAGCTTATTTGGTTTGCGTTAGAACGGACAACAATATGCGTGGAGGCTCTCTTGTATATCAAAATTTACTTTGATCGGAATTCATGTAGATGTGAAGAGCTTCCTCTTTGGTAGAATTCGGTTGAGGTTTCCTACATTTATCTTTCAAAGCATCACCCCAAATGAAATAACCAAAGGACCTCCTTTTAGGCTTTGCTTAGGTGATATTAGGAATATCATGATGGTTGGATGATGCTTATATTTAATCAATAAATGTAACTGTTCCTACACCTTTGGTATTGATTTTCCTACATCAAAGATGACTTACACAAACAAGGATGATGAAAACTATAACTTTACTCAGCTTCTACCTCTGATCAGTGATTGAACAATATGATCATGGTCCATAAAAACAACGTGATCATAAAAGGGCGATGATTAGAATTTCGTATGTCGGATCATGAGATTCTAAAGAGGTTAATCACTTCCTGTTATAAGTGTCAGTGCTCGTGGAAAAAATCAAGGAACGATTCCTTATTTGAAGAGAAACGTTTATGAGAGAAGCATGTTGCAAGAGGTGCATCATGATGATCACATCATTTCAAAGATGTTTGAGTTATAGGATTTATTATGGCCTAAAGAGGGACTTGTTGGTGATAGTTGACGTTGTGAATCTGGTCCTTCTAACCACTCATGCTTAGGATTGGTTCAAATAGCTCTTTTGTTTAGAGGCGGTTTACTCAACTGTTTATTTTCTTAGCGTCAAAATGAACATACTCAAATTGATATCGTTTAGCATTAATTGATAGATTTCTTATAATCTCAATGATGTTGTGACTAAAATGTTGATATTTTTTTTGTAATTTCATGCAATGGTTTGAAGAAAAAAATTTGAGGTTACTTGCCTCCTAATTCAATTAGGATGGAAGCAAGTATTAATATTTGAGAAAAATCTGAAGTTATTGTTTATCATTTTAAGTGTAACTTTTTCCAGAGCTTGTCTTGCTACGATGTGGAGCATAGTGACATCATAATTTTTAGAAGATTTAACCTTTTGAGATATTTTGTACTAAATGAGGCATGTTAGTGGTGATCAAGGCCACTAGCGTGCTCATTATTGGCAGCTATTTCTTCAGAGTAGGTTTTTGTGACATCTAAAACTGTGACAAGTGCAAAGTACCACCACCTCTTTCCTTGCATGTCTGCAAGTCTATGCGATGTGTTACAACATTAGCCCATGTGATTTGTTGTAGCTGCCTCTTCTTTACTTAGGTGTGGGGACAGGTGAGAAAGGGCGATATTGCCTTGTCTGTATTTGTCTGATTCAACATTGTTCCATTCAGCCCTTAGTTTGACTTTGTTCTGGAGTGCTTATATTTTACTTGAACCCTAAGAGTTTTTTATGGAATGAATCGAGTCGATTTGGGTACCTTTGGGCATTGTCGGAATCAAATTGAACTGGATTGAACTTCAATAAGGTCATTTGTAGGTGCTTTGTGATTTCTCCAGAAATTAAGATTTGTGATATTGTGAATTATTATTTTTTACTGTCTTGTTTAGCTAAAATGTGAGGATTTGGTAGTTCATCATTTTTGTAATTATGGACACCATCGTGTTTGTGAGTTAACTTATAGACCTTTGTTTCAATAAATTTTGAAACCTTGGATGCTATTTACATTTTTATATTATTTACCAAGCTTTATGAGGTTTAAAACGTTTACGAAGGGGACTTTGTTAATGGTTTTTTTGCCAGGCAATTTCCTATTTTTCCCTTGCTTTTCTAAAGTTTACGGTTAAGTTGATAACTTAAATATTCTTAGTTTGAGAAAATAAGATATTTTCCCAGGGTTTTCACTCTTCATGAATTTAAGTTTTTTAAAGTTAATGGCATGAAATTCGTCATGCCCTATCAGTTAACAGTTGTTCTTTATGCATTTTTTGTCACACCTAATGCCATCCTTTGTATTAGGAAATATGGAACAGTCCATACTCAAATGATAGCTTTCCTGTATATGCGGAGGATATTGAATCTGGTGATGGTGCAGCTCCATCATATTCCATGCTCAGCGAAGCTGCTCGTAGCTTGAAGATTACTATTGTCGGTGGTTCAATACCAGAGCGTTATGGTGATCAGTTATATAACACATGCTGCATTTTTGGTACGGACGGAAGTCTCAAGGGCAAACATAGAAAGGTAGTGGAGATGAGTTTTATTTTTTTGTTTTTTCTTCCTGCAAGAATTGTCTTTTCTATTTACCTTATTTTATACAATTAAAATTCTTATTTTTGTTTTCGTTGTATTAGTGGCAGCTTTTAAAGTTATACAATGTTTTAAATGGGAATTTTACGTAGGTAGACCTGGAACAAAACAATAATTTGACTTCAGTGATTTTGCAACACTATATGTCAGACGTTATTTCATTCCTAATGGAAATAGCAATTTGAATGCAGCTGCATTTGTTCGACATTGATATTCCCGGGAAAATTACCTTCAAGGAGTCGAAGACCCTCACTGCTGGGCAGCAACCGACTATTGTTGACACAGGTTTCATGTAACCCTTTTGAATGAAATGCCATATTTTGATATAGATCCAACTCTATTACAGCTATTTCTGAAATTTGATATACTAAGTTAATTGAAGTGTATACAATTATCAACTTTGCATTATTAAGACAATTGAAATATAATAACATGATATGTAATTTGCATGATACTTTAAATAGTAAACATAATTTCAAGGATGTAATTTTAGCGCATTGCAACTTCATTCTATTTGTGTAGGTGTACTGATGCCAGAGTTAACTTAACCCATGATGTGGGGTCGGCTACATGAATCCTTTTTCTCTATTGCATCCTATTTAGTGTCATATTATCACTTAGTTCTATTAAATTAAAATTATTTTTTATACAATAAGCCCAAGTCTTCCTTGGTCTACCTCTGCCTTTCTTAACACAAGTCGAATCTAAAACATCTACTCTCCTAATCGGATCATCAGTTGGTGGATGTTTATTGTGACTAAACCTTCTAAGAAGACTTTCTCTAATTTTGTCCGTCGCAGGTGCTACACCAACCCTATCACGGATATATTCATTTCGCATTTTGTCTCTAAGTGTAAAGCCACTCATCCACCTAATCACTCTCATCTCACAACACTCTTAACTTATTATTATGCTTCTCTTTTAAAGGTCAACATTCAATGTCATAGAGCATTGCAGGTCTCACCATCATCTTATAAAATTAACACTACTCACCTATGAAAAATTCTCTTATTGTTATGTCACATATGCAGTATTTTGATTCGCTTCATTAGTAAATTATTGATTTATGAAAGCAGATGTTGGACGGATTGGGGTCGGCATCTGCTATGATATTCGCTTTCAGGAACTGGCCGTGCTGTATGCAGCAAGAGGTCTGATTCTTCATCTTGATGAATGATGATGGCTTATCTTTATTTTTGTTGTTGCATGTTTGCATTTTGAGTTTGTCTGAAAAATTATATAATGCAGATTTATGAAATGGTCCCAAGTGATATAGGTTCCTTTTTTCATTCTAAATGCGGAGTTGTGGTTAAACTATGCAAAGCTTTTTTTTTAAAAAATTTTTAAAATTCTTTTTGAAGGTTTGTGATATTTTGTCATGCTTCATGGTGCAAGTCAATTTGGAGCTCTGCTTGCTGAGATATCATAGGTTAAGAGTGTCGGCGCTTAAAAGGGGAAAAGTTAATGTTTGGGGGTCGCCCGTAAGAAGCTGTCGGTCGCCGGAATCGAAACTGACCTCATATTTTTCACAGTTTAATTGAAAGAGCACTCAACCTCAAATCTTGTATCTATCCCGAGGGATAAACACAAGATTTGAGGGTGAGGCTCGATCAAATAAACTAAGAAAGATATGACATCCGTTTGGTCTGCGAAACCGTTTTATTTGCCGACAAGTTCCCCTATTTAATACAGAAGAATTAAATAAGGTTTATTTTAAGCTGGGTTCGGAAAAGCTCCCTATAAGGGCAAGCCCCTATAGTTAATTACATCTTAAATGATCGAAGTCACCTAAGAAAACTCTCGATAAAAATCAGGGGATAATGTCTTCAAAGAGGTCAAAAGGATAAGACTTTTCAACGAAATCGGACGAAGAAGGTGTGAAAGAGGAAAAATTCAAATCTGGAACATTGTTGAGGAATCCAAATGAAGAGAAACTAGGGGAGGCCACAGATCCTGAGGAGAACCTCAGTGACTTCTCAGTCTATCCTATGGTTTGACTCCAATTTTAGGAAGAAAATATTAAAGTATTTTATCCTGCCAATTTTATTTAATTAGGGCTTATATTTGCGTGACAGGGTCACTCAAATTGCCTAGAAGATATGAGGGTTTACGTCGTA